CCTTAGAGTTAAAAAAAAAAAAGCGCCAAGAAAATGTTAATGATGAACTTCATAAAGGAAACTGTGTCAGAGATGGAAGCCAAACCTGTTTTAGGCTCTGTCCTAAGCTCCCCCCCAGCCTCATTTGAGGCCAGGTTATGCTTAGATTATATTACTTAGCCCCAAAGTGAAGTACCCAAGCCCAAATAAGGCTTGTAAACGCATATGCAACTATCCTATATCCATATCAAGATATGTCAATGATGAACTTCATAAAGGAAACTGTGTCAGAGATGGAAGCCAAACCTGTTTTAGGCTCTGTCCTAAGCTCCCCCCCAGCCTCATTTGAGGCCAGGTTATGCTTAGATTATATTACTTAGCCCCAAAGTGAAGTACCCAAGCCCAAATAAGGCTTGTAAACGCATATGCAACTATCCTATATCCATATCAAGATATGTCAATAGGGTATCACCAACTACTTACTGCCTATAACTAGATGATTACTGTGAAAATTTACTTTCAATTGTTTTTTATCAGCTACCATATAATAACACGCTGCCTCTTCTAGCCTCTGCATTTCAAGTGATTCACAAACTGTAAAAATAGAATACTTTCCCCAAAAAGACATTCAAATGAAAGCCTGCCTGGTCTTCTTGCTGCTGGGTAGTAATTATCTATTTAATTACACAGCTCCATTCTTTGCACTCTCTATTGCAGAGAAAAGATGCTTTTCCAGATGAAACGATCCTCAAACATCTCCAAAACCAGGGCCAGTGATTACTGTTTCTACAGCTCCAGAATGAAAGGCACTGCAGTCTGAAAATAAGTGGTAGAAGGTCTTGCTCTATAACAACGAAATTACAGGAGTTTAAACATGAGCCATATTTTCTTCCTTTATGGCTTTGTATTTCTAATTTTCTGCCACCAAAAAACCCCTCTATGGACCAGATATGTGTATGGCTCCTTCCTGTTGACCTAAATGAGAGTTTGCACATTTGTACAAGGGCCGTAACAGAAGAGATGTTGCTTTCTGTTCTGTAATTTCACCGTAGGCATCATCCAGGTCACAAGCAATGCTGCTAGACTGAAAAGATATATCTGGTGTCTGTTACTGCTTTTTCACAATGAATTCCAGGAGTAAATTAACTTCTTCTATGTTTTTAATTATATTAAATCTCCACTGCAAAGATACAGAGATTTTAAATTATATTAAGTCTGCAAGATCCTGAGTTCCTGTAGATGAGACTACCATGGGTGCATCTCATCTTTGAAAATGAGATATTTGACATACTTGCAAATACTGGACTGATATAGGCTGATAAACAAAATTATTTTTTGAATTCTTCTCCTACGCTTATTAAAAAACATAATTGTTCACATTTGAAAGAATGATCTTACACTTAAGACAATTAAGGCAGGGTTATATCTCGTTCTCCGGTCAGGGCATTAGTCTAGCTATCATAATCCCTGTATGGATTAACCATGCTGACAACTGTCCTTCTTGAACAACTTGCTTAAGCATTTTCCAAAACTCAGGAAATGAGAAAGTTGAAATTAGCACCTGTGATAAGTCATAAGGAAAATAATTTCAACTAAGTAAGCAGATGCTGTAATGCTACTGGCACAAAAGTAGCAGTGGACCCAGTAAAACTAATCTTGAGAAAATGAGTTGCTAGCCACAAGACGCCTGGCTGCAAATACTGGCAGGCGTACTTCTCATAGCAACAGTTTCAGTAACGTGACCTTTCTATTACCCAGTTTCATGCTGTGTCATTTATCTGAATTATAAGAAGGGAAGCGCTTTTATCCTCAGTACAGCTCAGAAAGGACTGATCTATCCCGTAACATGCAAGAAATGCTTTGTTGATCGTACTGTTCAATTCTTGCGGCCACAAGTCCCACTACAGGTATAGCCGGTTTGATAATAAAACATAAAACTGTCTTTGCACCTATTTTCTCACAAATACGTGGTCTCCAGAACAGTATTCTAAGATACAAGAACCTACTTCCTGCTAATCTTGATGTTAGACTAGATATTTTGAGATGGTATCAGAGTTGTAAGTAAAGTTATCTTTTCAACAGACCCCAGTCTGACATGCCAAACATCTACTTAGGCTGCTAACCAATCTCTCCCATAAATACCCCTCCAACAGAAAGGAAGTAATGTCATCTCCTGAAAAACAGGTTTCATGGATTATTTCTGAAGTACAGGGTAAGAAAGCAAGGAGCTAAAAACCTTCCCCTGGCTTATCTGCACTGCAGAGCTGCTTCCTTGTCGCACTGGTTCTGGCAAATTCTGTAAACCAGGAGTGATTACAGCAAAACCTGTAATTTTTATCTAAAGGACATTCATCTGCTAGTTGTATGCCATCATGTGAACAGAAGCATTTTGAGCCAACTTAGGGATCTAATTCTGCCCCAGAAGCACAAACCTTACATTGTGGGTGACATGAAATAAGCAGTACACTTTTATACCAAAGATGCATGAAGTGGAGGACAGTGAGAGCCGCCATGCTAGTGCTTCAGGAGCCAGTGTCAGCTGGTCCCTGGCCCATACCACTGGCTCTGGAGGGCTGCAGCAGGCAGCAAATTCAGTTTTTGCCTACTTCCCCATGTGTGTTTAGAATAAGATTCATTTAGGTTTCAACTAAGCAAATGAAACCAACCAGCTTCATAAAGGTTTGAACACCTATCATTACACCTCCTGTCTAGGTACAGCCACCACAGATGTGTTTGGCCACCTCAGTGGAGGTGAGGAGGGGAGAAGCCGGATTCACATTCGAGCGAACAAGTTAAAACTCCTAATTTTTGTTGTGATGAAACCATTTTACAAATTGAAAACATGTGGAGGTGGAGGAGGTGGCCCTGCTCATTCCCTCCCTCCTCACAGGTCTCTGAGGGCTGCCAGAGGTAGGGCAGAAGACCACTCTCCTCCTCCAGACGACCACACACACAGCACAAAAGATGAAAACCTGCATATGGGACAGGTTCTCCCCACGGCTCGCTGGAGAGTACAGAAAACCAGATACTTCTCTAACTAGGGCTGTCCAGTGTCAGTTTACTAACAGTCATTTAATCTCTGTAAAATCCATGGGTTTAAGCAGAAACACCAAATTTCTAGAACCAGTTCATCTTTTCAGGCAAAGCACAGCTGATACTTGGACAATGAAAAGGTAAGCTCACTGCGCTGTGTAACTGCAGCTGAACAATAAGCTGGCTAAAGGAAGGGTTTATCGTAAGGTATCGCTTGTCAAGCTCACAGCCTTGAAGGAGGCTGCTTAGCACGAAATGCTGGAGAACCGGGTGTGTGACTGCAGGCTGTTCTTATCCCTGGGGTGGTATTTGCTCTCACCACAGTCACAAAGCCTCTGAGACACTAACAGAACTGCCTTCGGTCCACAGAAAAATTACTAAAGTAGTGAGAGAGAGATAGACCACCTTAACATGAGTATTAACTTTGCTCTCTGCTGGTAACAAAGGAGAGAAGTTTTTGTTACTGAAATAAATTCAAACCGAGGGAAAAAAATGAACAGCAAACAAAAGCAACACTGGTCAGTTCATTTTGGCACACATCAGGCTGCAATTCTGCTGCCAATGTCAATGTATTACATGCTGTGTAGCTATAAATTTCAATTGTGTTTGAATAAACACCAGCATATAGAACCGCTTTGGGTCTGTCTAATGCAGTCTGTCTGTAGACAGGACAGAATCACTATATTTCTTCAGCTGAATGGCCCCCAAATTAAAATCTTTAGTTGCTCTCAAAGTACACGTACCTGCAATCCCTTGTAGCAGCCCACAGACATTAAAAATGCTTTTCTTCATAATACTCTGCACACACATAGTAAAGACAGACACAAACGCCACGGCACAGAGAATCATGATTCCCACGGCTAGGAAAATAGCGGTTGCCTGCCAGAACCCACTGGCAATCTCATTGAAGTTTTCGGCGTAAGGACCACAAAGCGTGTCTCTTCTAGAAAGCTGTATGTGGGAGATTCTGGTGCAGCGCCCGTAGATGCCCAGCGTTGGATGGTAAGGCTCCTGCGAGCCCCCCGTTCTGTTGTCCACATCCTCGGAGCTTGAAGGCTTTGCTTTGCCAATCAACCAGTCTGCACTCATGAAAGCGATGAGCTCTGCAAAAGCCACCACAATACTCAGGAGAGTCCATAGCATCGACCGACACGTTACAATGACATGACACATATTGATGTCCAGTGCTTGTGATCAGTGCAGCTGACAGTCTTAAAATCCAGGCACCAGGGGGAAAAAAAATAAATTAAGAAAGAAAAAAACGGACCCTAAGAAAATCACTACAGCTGCTCTGCCTGCTCTTCCAGCTCTCTCACAAAAGCCAAGATGAAACTTCTCAGGAGAAAAAGTGAACGGCCCCAAGTTTTGCAAGCAGTGCAGTCATTTGTTCTCTCTGTTTAGTTCCCCCTTTTTTCTTTCTGTGATGCTGAGCTCTGAAGTATGCTTTTCTTTCTTAATATTCATACTGGCCCATGACGCTGCAGGCTGGCGGGGGAGGCCACAAGGACTGCCCACTGTTTGACATCACACACCTACAAGAAAAAAAGAGACAACACATCAGCAGTGAGGAAAAAAGTCTTCGTTTCCACCCCCACAATAAGCCAAGATCTCGCGCAGATCCACATCAACATGCAAAAGCTCTACCAAGGGCCCGTCAAACACAGCCTGCTGGAAACCTCCTGGGTTTGTCCCAGGGGAGTGATTAATCTCCCGCTGCCCGGAGGTCCTTACGGTATCTGCTCTGCCCCATCTCATTGCGGGTGTTTGTCAAGCACTTTGCAAGCAAAGGTCTCAGTAACACCCAGCAGTCCCACCCACTCCTACCACCACGCCCCCATCATCTTCCTCTGGTCAAAATTACCAAGGTTGCTGGCAGTTACCCTGCAAAATATTCGTACGCGTTTAAGCAGTTTCACAGACGTGCAGCTCCTGCCTTCAGTTTGGGAAGGCAGTATGGCGTGCCTTCGGGAAGGAAGCTGGGCACAGCTCCATGTGCCATGGGCACCTGGGTGCAAGGGGCAATGAAGGAACCTTGTTCCAACTTTATGTGCTTCTGCTGACTGCAGCTGAGCCAACCCTGGCCTTGAGAGGAGGCAAATAAGACTGCAGCTGGGAACAGCCTGCCCTGTGATGTGGTGACACAGCCCATCCCTTTGAAGCCTGGGTTTTGCAGGAGCAGTGCTTCCCCCGGTTCTGTACCCAGCTTTGCAGCAGTGTTTCAGAAAAGCAATCTGCCTGCAGGTATGTCACACACCTCATCTTGAACTGATGCCAGCACCAGCAGCCTCCAATGACTTATGCCACGTAAACAGGAATCTGTGGAAAAAATGCCCCAGTTGCTGCCAAGTGGCTGAGAGCCCTGGTGAGAGGGGTTGCCAGTCAGCCTTGAGCTTCCTGACTCCTCTCAATTCCCCCCTTCCACAGTCCTGTGCATGCTGGGACTGCAGCAAAATGTTCTCCAGGGCTTTCCCCAAGCTTTTATGCTGCCTTTCAACAGTAGCTGATGACATTCCCAGAGTTACACTTATCTTGGTACAGGAGGCAATCAGAGATCACTATACTTCCAACTTGTATCCAAATATTTGCCTTAAAATAACAAACGGGTCGTAGCACATGCCTTTGTGCTTGAACTGAACCTGTATTGCTTGAAAGCAAGAGGGGGAGCAGGAAATGCCCTCACATTACCCCCTCCTTGATAAGAAAGTAGCACTTCCAAGTTTTCCTCACAAAAACCAAAATACCAACATTGAACTGAGGCAAGAGAGTTGAGAATCAGATCTGGACCTCACTGCTGCGCTGCTGCCAAACACAAAGGGGTCAGCAGATGCCAGAAAAACAGACATCCCCAATTTTTTTTTAGCTTTGTCATGGGGTTGGTATTTAATTTCTCAGGAGTTTTGAGCCCAGCGGTTGAATTGTAGTCCCACTGAATGCAAAACGAAACCAACACCCACAACTTCCAACACATTCAGAATTTCATCCAGCAATTTCTATTCCCTCCTACACTAGTTGTAGTGAATCATCCACAACATTTTATCCGCATTACTCTTTCTCGTCTAGATCTGCAGACTCCTCTGGTACTAGCAGATACATGGACTTAACCTGCTGTGCCAACAACTCAATTTTGTCTGCCTTAGTTCAATGCTATGGCATTGCCTTAAAAAAGGCAAAACATGTTTAGTTGTGCTTTTAGCCATACTGAGATAACAGTTCAGCTCACTTTCCATTTTTGCGGGGAAAGCATGAAGTTTTCAGGCAACCTGACATACTGATGACTCGAATACACCCTTTATAATAACAGAGAGCTGAAGTGTCAGCCTGCCAAAAAAAAGTTAATTCTCTCAGTATTTCCACTTTAAATAACAATTGGAATGTAGGAAATGTCCACTACAAACCTACAGTCTTCTCCTGTCATCTGCACGATTAAAGAGAATTTAATAGAAAATGTCTATTTTTTAAGAGAAGTTCAAAAAAGTTCTAGAATCTGTATTTCTGTGCAACCACTGCACCCTTGGGAACTCCTCATCTTTGTAATTCCAGGATTTTAACTGAGGTGCAAGGGACCTAAGAATTGAACACCCATCATAGCTTTTACTGCTTACTCTGTACCTGCTGAACATAAAATACTGTTTATTAAACACAGATGAGAACAAAGTTCATATTTACTTAAGTAGGTGGGAATTCCAGATTAACACTAGCAGCCATAAAAACATGGCACTGATAACAAACGTGGGATGCTATATTAGAATCAGAAGGAAAGACCAAACCATGGAGTTCTTTTCCATTTGAAATGCAAGTGCAAGAATAAATTCAGTAACATTTAAAACCACAGTATCTCCAGAAAAGTCACTGCATAAGCGAAATAGCCTATCTAAAGATGATACGGAAGTTGTGTCAAATCTCAGGACTTCACTGGAACATATACTTCCCCATTTTGCAACACAGGGAGGCTTCACAGCACCTAAAGGTTAGTAAATGTCATTGATAACTACAGTTCAACAGAATATACTTTGATGAAACCTTCATAATTCAGCTTTCCCCAGGTAACAAGTACTCTATTCTGGTACAAAACATATCTCCAGAGCAACACACCCTTATTTATGGGAGAACTTCTGCATAAATTTATTCTTGCACTAGTGATGCCCTCGAATGGGAGCACCACTCAACTACAACTCCTTTTTGTGAGCAGACGGACAGAAACATACAAAGTAGGACGGCGCACAGACCAGAGACGGGGCAGGGGCATTTCTTCTTTGTGAGACTTAGCAAGGAAAGGTTGCAGATAAAGTACTGGAGGTAAGTTACAATTCAGTCACACTTGTGTAGTTAATCTTTTCCTTCCAACACAGTCCACCTTGAGTTCCCAAATGAACCTAACCAATTCTCACACGGCTCCAATAGCGTGTTTGTGCCATACATCAAAGCTTTTCCAGATACAGACTGTGCTAAATAAATGCACTTCATGAAGCGTCTCTCCAGCACTCTGCTCACCCCTTTTCTTCCATTTTTGCTCAACAGAAACTCAAGCTAGGCCCTTGCAAGGCTGAAAACTGGCTGTTTATTCCTCCTCTCAGTTTCCCATCCCTTGACAAGTTTTTTCCATGACAGAACTGTATGTTCTTCACAGCAAGCCACTCAATATCCACTTCTGACTGACTCTCAAAATATTTGCTTTGACAGCCCAAATTCAAAATATACAACAGTTCTTTAACCCCTTTGGTGTTAACTCATTCAAAATAATTCTCGCTGAGGAAGCAGACTACAAAAAGTAGGCTCACCCCTTAGTCAGTTGGGCCTCCCTCTATTTTTACTATTGCATTCAATTGTACAGGTGTGGAAGGAGGCCATCTGCGTTGGGCAAGTGGGTGCCCAGGAGGGAAACAGCCTTGCACAGCAAGCACCCGCGTGAGCCGCACACCACTGCAGCTCTCCAGCATGAGGGTCTCAGCAGCACCATCCCACCCCACCATACAACCTACCGTTCCTCAGCTGGGCAGCTCAAAACTACACCTTCAGCCTCATTTACTCTGCTCCTTGCACCATGCTCATGGTCAGGCTCTGCATTAAGTGAAGGCTAATACAGTGAAATGATCTCAGTGAGAACATCAGATCCTCACAGCATCCAGAGAGAATAAAATTGAGCTCTTGAATGCCAAAATCTTCTGGTTGTTTCGATCTAACAAAACAAACCATCTTAAAATATCACTAAAACTTTCTTCCTCTTTAGATGAAATTTTGACAGCCAGATACTCTGCCTCAAGTTGTACTTTCAAATCTCTAGCTAAGACTATTCAGCTGTTGCCTTTACTACACAACATCGCTATATGCTAAGTAGCTGGTGAAGGGCCTAGAGCACAAGTCTTATGAGGAGCGGCTGAGGGAACTGGGGCTGTTTAGCCTGGAGAAAAGGAGGCTGAGGGGAGACCTTATTGCTCTCTACAACTACCTGAAAGGAGGTTGTAGCCAGGTGGGTGTCGGTCTCTTCTCCCAAGTAACAAGTGATAGGACAAAAGGAAACATCCTCAAGTTGCGCCAGGGGAGGTTTAGATTGGATATTAAGAAAAATTTCTTCATCAAAAGGGTTGTCAAGCATTGGAACAGGCTGCCCAGGGAAGTGGTTGAGTCATCACCCCTGGAGGTGTTTAAGAGACATGTAGATGTGGTGCTTACGGACATGGTTTAGAGGCGGACTTGGCAGTGCTAGGTTAACGGTCAGACTCGATAATCTTAAAGGTCTTTTCCAACCTAAATGATTCTATAATTCTGCGACTCTAAGTAAATAAATAACATCTATTTTTCTGAACTCTATAAAGAAACACACTTGCCTCCATTTTGCTTACACTGACAAAACCAGAAAGTCAGAAGCTGATCCAAATTATAATATTTGAATTAAGGTTTGATTTTAGAGATGTTGAGCTGCAGGGTTTTGCTTTGGCATACCAGGCAGATAGGAAGGAGCAGCTGCAAAGTTCAAATCTCAGTCAATCACATACCACAGCTATTTATTTTAAAAGGTGTCCTACAAGCAACGTACAAGAGACCCACAAGTACCTTCCAAAACAGTGTTACGGCCAGTCCTTCATGCTCCCCTTATGGTTTGACTGAAGGCGGGAGCTCAGACTAAACCCTACAATTCAGCTTTTGCCGTTCCCAGCCTGGTTCTGTCAGCTCAAGAGTGAGAATAAATCATCTTTAGATAAGTGGCTTTTGGCTTGGCTTAAACAAACAGCTGAATGGAAGGCCACACAGACTGCTGAAACAGTCCCAACTTATAAAATAAATCCAGGCACAATTAGACATTTTCTTCTGAAGCTTGCTGCAGTCCAAAGCACAACCACACAGAGGAGTTTCTAAACCTTGTTTACAATATACAAGCTTGAGCATCTCATAAGCCAAAATGTGCAAATCA